TTAAGTAAGAAATTAATTAGTATTTAAATTTTTAAATTTCTAAAATATTTGACTCTAAACTTGTATTTGAATAATTAAATATAGAAATAGGTTAACTTAAATTTATTTTCCCCTTGAAATATTCTGATTCTAACTCTCCTTTAATAGATTTTAGTATTAAGAAAATAATATTAACAAATGAAAAAATAGAAATGGATAAAAACGAAATAAATTATAAAGAATAATAAAAATAAAACTAAATCATAGATAACACTATCACATCCTCTGTTTTTAATTTTAATTATAATAATAATAATGCTTCGATTAATGTATATTATAAAAAAAAATATATGTTTTTAAACTAAGTTATAATTTTTTTTATTATTAAAAGAATTTTAATTCGGTTCTTTAAAGGACAGAAAATTTTTAATTTCAAAGTGTATATGAAAATAATATTTTCTAAATAGAAAATGAATTAGATGATTTAAATATAAGCTAAGCGAAATCAGATTATGGTGATTTAGATTAATTTTTTTAAATATAATAATCTCCAGAAAAAATAAAATAGCTTTTTATTGATGATACATAATCAAATAAAGAATTTTAATTTTTTTTTAATTTAGAATGTTAGTTGTTTATTAAAAACAAAGGTGAATATAATAATATTTTATATATACATATTTTATTTTTTTAACACAAAAAAATTATTAAGGGGATTAATTCTAGCAAAGAATTGAAAATTACAGAAGATTTTTGCATAAAATCGAATTTAAATTGTTCTATAAGACTTGACTTTGATAAAAATTATTAAGCTACTGCTTTTATAAAATATTAAAGTGATGATAATCTCAAATTAAAAAATATATTTACTTTTAATAACTAAAATGATTTATCAGATAATAATGATTTAAGTACAGGAGTATATAATCATTAAGTGAAATCTACAAAAAGCTAAGAAATGTATGAAAAAATTCCTAATTAAAGATAAAGTAGCAATATTAAGTAAAAAATAAAAAAACAATAAAATATGTTTATTATATAAAAAGGAATTCCAATTAATTAAAATAAATAATTCAATGCTAAATAGAAACAAATATAAGTGAGTTTTCTTTAAATCTTTATCTAGACAAAAATAGTAGCATAAACGAGATATTAAATATGTATAGAGATACTTTTAATTAATAACAAAAAAAGTAAAAGTAAAACCAGAAACTAAGGATTTAAGATTCTCCTTAAAATGAAAATTCAGTAAATTATAGGAGAAATAATAATACTTAAGTTTCATAATAAGAAGAAAATTTTTATGATGCAATAGATGATTTTTCTTAACTTTTTAAATAATAATCTTAACTAAATTTAAGAATTTTCAATATTACTAATAATGAATAAAAAAAAATATAGAAAAATAATATTAGATAATATAATATTTAAGAAATTATATAGAAAAAAATAGATTATGTTTTGTAAGAACAAATAAAAATATGTAAAGATGATAGTTAAATAAATAAATAAAAATCATAAAAAAACACATTTTAAAATTAAATATAGTTTAGTTTTACTTTAAAAATATCTTCTTTTAGAATACGGTTTACAGAAAAACAATAATAACTAGTTTATGATAATAAAATCAATCATCCATTAAAAAGTAGATGGGAAGAAGGTTCATCTTTGTAGATTTAAAATATTTAATTTGACATCAAAAATTACTCTAAAGGAAAAAACGAAAACAAAAAAGTTATCTATTTGGATTTAAATATGGATAATATATTAATATCAATTCAGAAAATAAAGAAAATAGTATAATTTTTAAATTAATATACATAAAATTATGATTAACCAAACACTAAATCTGAATAATAAAAAGATGATAAAGAAATTGAAAAAGATGAAACAAAATAAGATATATATTATAAAAATTTAGAAAAACTTGTGAAAAATTTAAAGACTATATTAATGATAAAAGAAACTGAATTTTATTTCGAAATAAATTTAATTAAAGGTGAATTAGCTTTCTAAGACAAACGAAAACAAATAAAAGATAAAAAATAAAGTATAAATTTTTACGTTAACGAATTTAAAATTGCATCTCAGAGCACACCTATAAAATTCGATTTTAATGAACTAAGATATATTGATTAGTTAAAGAATTTAATTAACTTTATATAATATGATATTAAGTTAAAATGGAACTTTTATGCAGATTATCTTAATATGATGAATAGATAATAAGAACCCTTTATTGAAAAAATGAATATTAACTTAAATTTAAAATAAATAAATTGTAAAAAAAGTGTTAAATATAAATGTGAAGATTCAATACTATTTAACTTCCATCCAGCCTTAATTGAAAATATTCTAATTTTATGGAAATCTTTAAAATTTAAAAGTAAACATATAAATTAATAATTGTAATAATATAATAACTAAAAATAGTTTTAATAATATTAAATATAAAATTTAACTGGTTATTAAATATAAATATGGTAAAAATCAAACTAAAAAAATATTGAAAAAAAAGATAAAAATGAAAAGAATTTTTATTTTAATTTTTTAGAGGAAGATGATGAAGAAGAAAAGAAAAAAATAAATAAATCTTATAATACAAAACACGAAATTTAAGTTTAATTTGAAAATTTTAATTAGATTTTTACTATTGATTTGCTTCTTACAAATGAAACATTATTATAATTAAAAGAACTTAATATATAAATTATATGTCAACCTTTTATATATGATGATAGAAAAATTGTTTTTAGGTCAAATATTAAACTCATAAATAAAACAAATTCCAATCTAACACTACTTTTTAAAAATTAAAATATCATTAATGAATAAAATATTGCTAAAGTTAGTGAAATTTTTATACCGCTATGTTATTATGAAAGTGAATAAATAAAAATTATAGATTAATCATCTTTTATTGAAGCAAAAAATCAAAATTAATTTAATTATACTAAATTTAAATAAAATATTTAGGATAATGTCCCTGTTTAAGTTTAAATTTACACAAAACAAAGCACTTATATTTTGATTATAAGATAATTTATTAAAAAAGTTTTCTAAAATGAAAATATATATGAATAGATAGAATTAATATTAAGTTATCCATTAAAAATTTATAATTTAAACCCTTAAAATCTTGAAGTTTGCATTAATTAATTTAGTCCTTTTTAAAATTCTCTTTTATATCCTTTAATTTATTTGTCATAGAAAAGTAATTTAGAAGAATAGATAAAACAATTTACAAAAACTGAGAAGTTTTAATTTTAAGCTGGCGAGTATAAATATATTTCTACTTTTGATATATATAAATCGTGGAATATTAATATTAAAATGGAAAATTATAATTATTGTTGTGTTCCTTTTTAAGTGTTTAGTACAGAATTAATTTAATAATTTAAAAAATATACTTATTAAGATGATAAAAAAGAATTAAAAAATCCTTTTTAAGAACCGATTTTTCAAAAAAATATATTTTAATTATTACCAGAAAATGAAGATAATGAAAATGGAAAATAATTAAATTTAATCCTAGAAGTTAAATATAATTTCGAAAATTTAGAAATTCTAATATATTCTTAATATTGGTTCTTAAATGAAAGCTCTTTACCTATAAATTTATTTATATAAGAAGGTGAATATCAATATCCTAAAATAAAACTTCCATAAATAAATGAAGTGATATAAAACAATTAATATATAGGGGTTAAAGCCCATAACTTTACTCAAAGCGATTTAATGCAGTTATTTTTTTCTTAAAATTAATAATAAATAATATAATACACAGGTAATCTTACATAAAATAAAAAGTTTTAATTTTCTGTTTCTTCTAAATATATAAATGAAAACATTCTTAAATTTTAGAAGAAATAAGATTTTTTCACTTCCGAATTATATAATTTATAAAATGGAAACTAAGTAATATAATTTAATAATATAGAAATTGTAAAATTCAATATTAATCAAGTATTTCTTCCAGGCGAATTTCAATCTATTTAATTTTTTGTTCTTTCTCCTTTCTAAATAATTCATAATTAAAGCTCTCTACCATTACAAATTAATTAAAAATTTTAAAGTTAACTGTATTTTGAAACTCTTTTACCTCCAAAATAATAAACTTAGCTAGTTTATAAGTAATCTAAAGAAATGAAAAGTTAAATAAAGGCGGCTTAAAATTTTGGGGTATATTCTGAGTAATTTAGCTAGTCTTATAGTTAATAATTTACTATAAAAATAAATTATAAAAATGATTAATAAGCGTTTAATATTTTGCGAATAACTGTAGCCATAAAAAAAATATATTTTGTATATATTATATAAAATAAATAAAAAGATTTCTTAAGAGTGTAATATAACAGTTCTAATTATTGAAGATGCTACCGAGTTTCCACCGTTTAAAATCATAAATTTGACAAAAGAAAGCCTTGCAGTTTGTTAAAAGAATTATTAATATCTATTAATAAATAGTATTAAATAAAATATAGACTATGGAAAATAGCCGCCAGAAAATTATTTAAAAAAATACCGAATTTTTGGATGGGATAATCCTTTTGAAGAAGAAACACTTATTATAGAGAAAAGAGACAAAATATTATAAATTTTAAAAAAAGAGGATATTTATAATAAAAAAGGTGGAATATTAAGAACAGAAGAAAAAGATGATGATGAAGTTATTTGTATAAAAGTTGTATAAGATAGTGAATTCCCAAAAACAAGAATAATTCTAATTTTTTATTAATGCTTAGTGGATTTTTTTAATTAATAAAATTTCGAAAATATAAATTTAAATAATCTTTAACTTGATATTGATCTTGAAAAAATTGGTATTTCTATACTTAATTCAACACCAAAAGAAATAATTTATTTTGAAATTGAAAAAATAATTTTAAAGTTAAAATAATTAGATAAGAGATTAGAAATCTAATTGAAAATCTAGGATATTCAAGCAGACTTTTAAGAGGCTAAACCTTTGCCAATTCCTTTCTTCTAAACGAAAAAAATTATATAAAAAAAAAAAAAAAATGAAGAATAAGAATCTAAAAAAGCAGGAACTTATTAATACAGAAGCTTTTTCAATTTAAAGTATATTTAACAAAAATACAAAAATAATTAAACTAATCATATAGAATCTTTTAGATTAAGACTTTAACCTTTAGAAATAAATATAGAAGGATTTTTAATTTACTAATTAATTTTGTTAATTAATGATTTATAATAAAAGCAAATATTCAAAGTAATTTATACATAATTATTTAAATATTTTTTATTTTATTAAAAAGATATCTAAAAGTATTGAATAAAATTCGATTTCTAATTAGTAACTTAATCTAAATTATGATCAATAAATTAAAAAATCATTCTAAAAATAATCATTATATTTTATAGAATAGCTTGATATTTCGAATATTAGTTTTGACTTGAAATTTAGTAATATGCATTAAATAAAATAAATAACTCATAAAACAAATTAATATTATTTCACTTTACTAAATTTAATTGGAAAAAAAATATTCAATTTTGACAAATATTCAAATCAAAATCATTATTATAATTTATAAGATTTAGTACGCTAAATTGGGAATTATTACACAAATGAATTAAAAAATTAATTATATGCAATTATTATAAATGCTGATTTGGCTGGAGACCCTGAATAATTATTCAAAGAAGTAGGTTTTGCTATATTAGATTTTTCTAATTCAATAATAAATTATGTAAATTATTATTGTTCAACTATAACAAATTATTTTAAATTAAAAAAAATTATTTATAAAGTTTGGTAATAATTATGAAAACTCTTATAAATATTAAATTCTTTATAATACAGTTCTTTAAAGTGGATATAGTTTTACTAAACGTATAGCTTAAGCAATAAAAAGCAGTGCATCGCTTATAAGTGGAAGTATTATAAACGAATTATTCGATAGAGTGGAATATGATAAATAAAATGAAGCTTAAATTGATTAATAAATATAAAATATAAGAAAAATAGAGCTTTAATAAGTAAAAGAAAGTAATATTGAACAAAATTTTACTGGCAATTTTATGAAATTGTTTCATACAGCGTTTTTACTTCCCTTAACAACTATTTACTAAACCTAGAATAAGAAAAAAAAATAACAATAATTCAATTAATTTAAATCTTTAAAAGAATTAATTAATGTAAAAAGGTATCCTAGAGTTATTGGATAAAATAAAGTTTTAAAGTGCTATGATAAAAATCAAGCTGTTGCTAAAGTATATATAAATAAATTGTTATTTTATTTTTTATAAAAATTATTAATAAGTTAATATTTAATGTTTACTAAATTGAAAAGTACGACTTCTAAGATTGTTTTGAAAGCTTATATGTTTTAAACGAAACTGAAATGTGGTTAATAACCAAACAGAAGTATTATTTTATTTATTAATTGATAAAAACATATTTTAAAATAAATAAAAATAAAGGTTTGTAATTTTCTAATAAGATAAGTTAAAAATATTATTAAATATATTAAAAAGAGATATTTCTGAAGTTATAATTTAAGATAATACTCTAACAATAAACTATTCAGATGAAAATAAAACTAAAGTAAAAATTATAAGATATTTTATGTTTTTTACAAAATAAAATTACAAAAGGAAATTTAGCATGTAAATTTAAAAATATTAAATTTGACAAGTTCTGTATATTAGATTTCGAAATTAGATGATCAAACAATAAGAGAAATTAAAGAAAAGTTTAATTATGTATTTTAATATAAGCATTATTTTAGTTCAAGAAATTATATTACAAGCCTATAATGAATAATTTTATTTTAAAATTAAAAAAAATTAATTTTGTATAATTAATTAAAATATATATCATTTTTATACATACAAAAAAAAATTCAAAAAAATATATAAAATATTCATTTTTTTAATGAAATAAAATCAAATTTAATAAAAGTAAAATTTATGGGAAGATTGGAAATTATTTAAAAAAACAGAATTTACACATCCTTCCCTTTAATTAAAAAAATAAGGAGCTTCATTTAAAAATGATTAATATGGTGAATTTACATACAGACCATCATATTCAAGTCCACCTTCAATGTAAGAATTTTATGAAGCAGTAATAAACGGGGCTATAAAAAGGTATTAAATGGGTCTTTATAAAGGCGAGTATTAATATTTTATGGAACTATAAAATTGTTTACATGAGTTTATAAAGCTTTTAAATTTTAAAAGTGAAATATTAGTTGAAGTATTTTAAAGTATAACAAATATGAATTTATCTAAAGAAACTTGCCCTAATATTGTTGTTCCATGTGCTTCTTGTCATATGTATATTTATATTAACTTTCATTGTTAAAAATGCTACTCTGCTTTTTATTGTGATAAAACTTGTATGAAAAATAATAGGAGTAAGCACGAGTTATAATGTGCTTCTCTAACAAAGTTAACTCCTTCAATAGTATATCCTTTATAAGTTGAAATTCATTGTGGAGGTGATTTAGGTGATAATGTGGAGATTTACTATTAACATGAATAAAGAATTACCTTATTATATTGTGGATAAAAATTTTTTAATAATTTATTTAAAATTCTTTTGAAAAATAGATGGCTTAAAAATAATGGATACACAATTTTTGAAAATTCATAAAAAATTGTATTTAACTTATTTATGGAAACGAAGATTCTTTAAATGTTAATTCTAAAACTTAAGAATAAGAAGATTAAGAAAGAAATTCAAAAGCTTAAAACGATATCAAATAAATTAATAAAACTAATAAATTAAATACTTAAAACGATAAAAATAAAGAAAACTCATCTCAAACTGAAGAGGAGCTTTTTTTAAAAATGCCGTGTGTTTAAGAAATGAGAGTTATATTTTTAAATTAAGGAGCTATATTATAAGATATTATAAAAGAGACATTTGACCTTTATACCCATTTTATACATATATATTATTTCCCAATTTGAAAAATAAACAATTTTTGATTTTAAAATTAACAGTTTCATTATAAGTATTATTTTTAATTTAAATATATTTTTTATTAATTGAAATATAACAAAGAATTAATTTTAAAAATAAAATAAATAAATAAATATAATTTTTGTTAAAAAAAATGTTATATCGATTTAATTTATTGTTTTTATTTTTATAATTAATTTACTTTTTATTTTATAAAAAAAATAAATATTTCAACTTAATAAAACATCATTGTATGTCTTAATATTTTCATTTAGATGTCCATGGATATAATTTAATGCACTTAAAGCTTAAATATATTAATTGATATCAACTAAATCCTTAAATAAAAAAATATAAATTAATAATTACGAATAAAAATTATTACTGTTTCAAAATCTTTATAAACATAAAACATTAATTCTTTCAAACATTTAGGACGATCGAATTATTTCGAATCTAATTTTTTTTATTTTAATTTTATATATTTAAATTAAACAAATTTTTTTATTAATTTCTAAAATAAAATTAAATTACATTGCTCAATTTCACATGATTCTTGATTGTCAAACCAAGCTTCAGTAAACATAAATGGATTTTTTTCAATTTAATGCTCTCCATTAGCCGCAAAAACTAAATTTTACGCATAAATTTACAATTCTTAGTTTGAAGGTAATGTAGCTCCTAATAAACATAAATAAACGCATAGATGGCTACTGTTAACATATCCAGTTTTTTGAGGGTCTAAATTAAGAACAAGTCTCTGATAATCATATATAGTATTTTTTCTCCAAATAGAAGGCAATACATCGGATGTAATTTTATTAATCTTATAAAAAATAAGTTAAAAATAATAAATTTATAAAAAATACTGTTTTTCTAAACAAAAATTGGACTAATTCTCTTGATTCTACTAAATTTCTTTCATTAGTGATACTTCTGATTTCTTCGATGATTACATATAATTAAGAAATACTGAATTTGTGTTAAAAGATAGTTTCTTTAGCAGGTAAAATAATCGGCTTTTTATATTTTTTTAAATTTTAAATATTTTTATTTTTGTTTATAAAATTTACTGGTGGAGTTAAAAAATTTAAAATTTAATGAGAAATAATAACATCGACATAATTAAGTTGAATTTCTTTTTAAATTTTTTTTTCTTCTTCAATATATTATCTAAAAATGTAATCCATTTCATTAACTGCATCGTTTTCTATTTTAAAAGTGTATTCAATCCAATCCTCAAGCTTTCCATATAAAATACTACTTAAAGCTTTCATTTCTTTCAATCTACTAATAGAAAAATCTTTAAGTACTTATATTCTATATCTAAATATGCTTTTTTCTATATGCAATGCCTCTTTCATATTTTTCTCTAATGGATTAAGCTCTTTTTTTTCTTCTACTTCTTCTTGAGCATTTTTACCTGTTTTTTTAGGAGCTTTTTTATCTTCTTTTTTAGCTACTTTTCCACCCTTTTTATTAGCACCTTTTTCTTCCTATTCTTCTTCTCCGTTATGTAGTTTTAAGGCTGAATCAATAATCTTTTCTATTCTAGGAAAACTTTATGCATCTTCTACAGGAGGAAGTGAGTCTTAATTGCTTATAATATCATTTTTATAATATTCAGGTATTTCTTATAATTCTTCACCTAAAACTAAAGTATAGTAATCTGCTATTAGCTGTTAACAACTAAAAGATCTACTTAATTCAGCTTAAATTAATCTTTGCATTAAAAGAGTAAATTTTTCCATTTCTTTTTAAATCCATCCACTTTTAATTATTTAGTTTCTTTCTTCAGTTGCTTCTTCTCGTCTTATTTTTTTTTTTTAAAAAAAATAAAAATATTTATTATTTACTTATTTTCAATTATGTCATAAAGTAAATTATGTAAATCTTCAACTCTTTAGTGCAACTCTTCTTTAGTTTACTATTCTTCACACATATCTGGATAATTTTAAACAAAGTCATTATATTATTCTTAGTATTATCTTACATATTCCTATATAATATAATTTATATTAAAATTATAATAATAATATTATTATTTTTATACAAATTTATTATCTTATCTTTATATTAACTTTAAAAACTTTTTTTATATATCATTAAATCTAACTATAATTAATTCTTTTTATTCTTATAAATCATAAAAAACATCTTATGTTATATTAATATAATAATCTTATGTATTTTTCCATAAATTTGCAAGATTTGTAATTGCTTAATGACTTATTTATTGGTTTTGCATTATAATTTATAACTATTAAACTATTTCTTAGCTGTCAGTAGGATACCACTAGTATATATAATAATATAAATAATTATTTAAAATATGAAATTTACTTTTCCTTCGTTTTCTTCTTTTATTCTCTACATTTCTTATTAATGTTTTTCATTTTCTTATTTTAATTAATAATTTTCTTTCATTTATTAGTATCGTTATTCTTTTATATATAGCATTTAATCAATCATATTATCTATACAATAAAAAAGTTCGTCAATTTTTAAAAATCCGTTAATATCTTACCAACAAATTAATTCTTTTTTAACTATATATTATTATTATTATTATTATTATTATTATTATTATTTTTTATCTTCTTAATTTTCTATATTTATATCTTCTTATTTATTTTTTTCATATTATTTATCTTTGTTTGGACTATTATTTTATCCCTATTATTCCTATTTTAATTCTGATTATTTATTTTAAGAATTTATATGATTTATATCATGATCTAAATTTTCCTATTCATACTAATTTTATTCTTCTTATTCATTTATTTCATATCCCTCTTAATTATCAGATTAATTATTTTCATAAGAATTATAATACTAACCAAACATAGAGTACCATTCTTTAAGTTCTTAATAATTATTATCTAATAAACAATTTTTGTCGACTATTCCAATTTCGGATTATTACATAATTCCTTCAATTCTTTCTACTAGAGGAGCATTATCAACAGGTGGAATATTATCATCTAAATGATAATATTGTTTTGTAAAAGGATCATATCTTCTTCCTAAAGCCCTTCTTAGACTTTCAGTTTTATCAATATTTATATAAAAAACATTATCCAAACCTGCTTTAATTAAAGACCTTTTCACTATTTCTACTTCTTTGCCTTTAACAATTAAAGAAGCTTTTTAAACACTTTTTTCAAATTCACTTTAAATAACTTCATCTTTAGGCATAAAACCAGAAAGCTCTTTTTCTAATAATTTCGCTTATTCATATGAATGTGGAAAATCCAATAAAATCACACCATTAGTGTATTTATGATTTTTATTTGATAATTAATTTTTGAAAATATCTTCTTATGTTAAAGGGAATTCTATATCTCTATTTTCATTGTCGATACATAATTGTTAATCATTATGATTATCGTTTAAATATAGAATTTTTTCATAGTTTTCTAAAAATTATTCTTCAGATACTTCAGGATGTATTTTATTTAATTCTTTCATGATAAGCTTAATGTAATATTCATCAGGAATTTCTTTTCCATCCAAAAGTATATTTTCTATTTCTTATGCTAATTATTTACTTTCTTCATCGATTTCAATTAATAATTCTTCATCTTAAATTTTTAAAATTTGATTATATTATAAAATTTATTATTATTCTTTTTATTATTATTATTATTATTATTATTATTATTATTATTATTATTATTAATCTTTTTATTCTATATTAAATTCTACATTTCTTTAACTTTTACTACTTTTTAATATTTTTTATTATATTTACTATTATTTTTGCTAATATTACCTCCATGTATCTATTAGATCATTTAATAATTTTTCAACAGAAAGTATTTTTACATTATATTTTTATTAAAGTAAATTTGCTATAGTTTTTTTTCCAGAAAATTAATATCCGAGTATAGCTATTTTTATTGGAAGCCAATCAAAATGATTATTTTTAATTTTCTTTTATTCTTCTAATTTTTATTCATAATATTTCTCAAGTATTTAAATTATTAAATCTCCTAAAAAGTAGTTATTTATGGCATGATTAGGTATATTTTTCTCATCTTCTTCATTTTAAGGAAAATTATGTTATGGAACCCAAATTCCTTATCCTGTTAAATAATCTTGAAATTGTTTAGAAATTACGAACTTTTTGCTTTCTTATTAATCTTCATATTATTATTTTAAATTCTATATTATATCAGCATTAGCAAATTATTTAGTTTTAATTAGATTCATTTCGTTAATAAATAAATGTAATTAATTTTAAAATAAATTTGTATCAATTAAATTAGTATCATTTAATTATTACTAGTCATAACAAATATTTGCTAAATCAATAAATTAATGAACAATATCTTAGCATTTAAAATAATTTTACTTTCTTTACATTTACTTTTACTATATTTCTATTTCATTTTATCTTACTAATTTACTTTTTATGTCTTTGTTATTTTCTTCTTTTAATTATTTTAGCATTTCTTCTTCTTTATATTTAGCATTTATCACCATTACTTCATTTTTTTATTTATATTTATCTTATCTTATTCTTCTATTTTCTATTATTATTTATTTGCATTATTGTGCTCTCCATACTTCGTATTCTATTTCTTTTTCCTTTTTTTATTTTATTTTAAATAAAATTTATAATAATATTATTACTTATCTTGATTATTATTCTAATTTTTTTAAAACTAATTCCTCTCTTTTTTTGACTTAAATATCCCTTTGTAATTTAGATTAATCTACAATCATCTTTCTTCTTCTTTTGTCTCTTTCTTTTCTCAAAAATTCATTTAATTTTTATTTTTCTTTAATCCTATTCATTGTTGCAGTTGCACTTACTAAATTTTTATTTTCTTTTTTTATATTTTAATTTTATTTATTTAATTAATAAATATTTTTTAAATACATACCTTTTTTGATTATGTTTCCGTTATTATCTTCTTCTAGAATTAAACCTTTTTTCTTCAAGCTTAACTCAAATTATTCTATATCACCAAGAACTTCATTTTTAGTAGTTTCTTTTATTGTATTCAATTTATTTTATGCTTTTAAAGTTATTTTTTGAGTAAATTATTAATCAGCTAATTCACTTTGTTTTCTAATTTCTTAATTTTTCTTCCATTATTCTTAACCTTTATCATTCCAATCTTCTTAAAAAGCCATGTTTCTTTAAAGTTTATTAAGCTAAATCTTTCTCATTTAATCTCTTAATGCTTTATACTCTTCCTCATATTTTTATTTTTATTAATATATAATTTGGTCTTATTGTTTTTTATATTTATCATAATGCTCTAAATGTTTATCTAAGTTTACAACTTTTTAAGGTTTATTTTTTTAATTTATAAGTTAATCAAAAAAATGAGATTCCATTTTAGCATATTAATCAATTGGAGGATTAATTTTCATCAAAGGTGTTATTGTGTTATATTTTCCAGATTTACTACTAAAAATCATATCTGCTGGGTTATTTACTTTTTCTAAAGCCTAAAAAAAAATATTAAAATTTAATTTTTTTAATGTTAAAGTTATGTTTTTTACCATTTTTAATTGATATAAAATATTGGCAGCAACATTTTTTTAGCATTTTATTATTTAATCTACAGTTATAGTATCAAATTTTATTTTTAATGTTGTAAAAGTAGGTTAAAGAAGATTAAAATTCTTTATTTTTGCTGTTCGAATATCTCTTTTAATTTTTTTTTTTAATTAAAAAATTAATCAAATATTGTTAAAATATTACTTGTTTTTAAATTCATCAAAATTCAATTGCTGATTATATTTTGATAATAATTCTCCAAAAAAGTAACCGTTTGAAAAATCTTCTTCAAAGCTAATTATTTTTTTGCTTAATTAAACTTCGTCGTTAAGCCAACCAAATAATAAATCACTCATAAAACTTTTTTATTTTTTTAATTTTATCTTAATAAAAAAAATTATTTTATTATTTTAAAAAACAAATAAAAATAAGTTTCAAAAAAAAAAAAAAAAAAAGAAATTGTTTTTAGAACTAAATATGTATATTCCTTAAAATAAATACATATCTTAATTAATTTGTTTAAAATAATCAGAATAATTATTTAAAAATCCCAAAAAAAAAAAAAAAATAATAAATAGATAAACAAATATTATTATATCTTCTATATTTTTAATTTTAATTTGTTAAAAAATATAAAAAAAAAATATTAATATATTTCATCATTATATTAAATAAATATTAAATTATTATTTCAAAAGTATATAGTCTTAAGTTTTTATTTTCAAGTTAAATCTAAAAAATATAAATAAAATATATTATTTATTTTAATAAACACAATATCAGTACTATACTTTTTAAATTTATTTATAAAAATAGATTATTAATCTATTAAATTCAATTTTTATAAAAAATATTATTTAGTCTAAATTATAATATTTTTATTTATTCTTATATAAAAACATATTACATAAATTATTCTTATAATGTTCTTATAAAACTTAATTTGTATTTTAATATTTTATTGAATTATATATTAATAGTTTAAAATATATTTATTGATAATTTTTATATAATTATAATTTTGTAATATTTCTTACTATCGTCAAATAAACAATAATATTTTGTTCATTAGTAATAAAACGATTTTTAATAAAATAAATATTTTAAAATAAATAATAATAAAGATAAATGCTTATCTTTAAATTTAAAAAATAATATATTTATAATATTATTTTTTAACAATATATTTTTTTTTACAATTTTTGTATAAAAATATAATTGAAAAAGTGGATTATAGCCTTTTTTTCTTTTGAGTTTGTTTAAAAAACATACATTTAAATAGCAAAAAGTGATATTTAATTATGTTTGTTATTTCTAATAAAAATGGTATATATTTTTTCCTACTTATAGATATAAAATAAAATTTTAATTAATTACATATTAATAATCAATAAAAATATTTGATTAAATCATTTGTTTTTGAGAAAATATGTTAAATAATATTTATTATTATCAATTTTTATATACTAAATATATATATAAATTACTTTCTTATATTAATTTTTTATTTTTATTTTTATAAAAATCAAACTCAATAAAAAAAGCAATTATTAATTTTTTCACGTATTTTTTGTTGTATTTGTTTAATTTTAAAGAAAAAAACTAAAAATAAAATAATTGTAAAGATAATAATATATTATAAAATATATTATTATATAAATTTTATTTTATTATTATATATTATTTTTGATTTATTATAATATATTAATAATTATATGTTTGTAAAATAAAATAAAATAAAATTAATTATATAATATTTATTTATATCGTAAAAAATTAGTATTTACAATAAAAAAGGTTACAAAAATTAATATATATTAAAATTTATTTTATAAAGTAAAATTTTATTTTTATTATTATTTGAATTCAATAATTATCTTTACTTTTTCTGTATATATATCTATTAAATTAAAATTATTTATTAAATTCATAATTTTATTACTTTTTTATTCATAATTTATATTTAACTAGTAATAAAAAAAGAATTAATTGAAAATTATGTTTATTTATAAACAAAATACTTTTTATTATTTACTTTATTATCTCAAGAGAAATAATTAAAATAAAATTAAAAATTAAAAATGATAAGTAATAATTTATTTTCAATGAAAATTTATCCGATTATATATACTTTGTAAATTTTTCAAAATATTTAAATTATTTATTTTTATTTTATTTTAAATATATATTTAAATTAAATAATTTTTTTATAAGCAAAATTAAAATTAAATGTTTAAAAATTAAAAAATACTATCAACTAAAGTTAGAAGCTTTAATCCTTTAAAAACTAACGGTACATAGGTCATTTACTATGTATTAAGCTAACACAAAAAAAGTTTATTAGAGGATGCATTTATTAAAATGAAAATTAGAAGCTATATCAAATATAAAAAATTATCAAGATTTATTTTAATTTTAAAAAATAAAATGATTATTAATCTTAAAAGGCATTTTTAAAAATTGAGATTATATTAACTAAAAAATAATAAGAAAATACTTCCATTATTATGTAATTTATATATTAAATTTAAAACAATATCTTTAATTAATTATAACATATAATTTTTTAAACGAATAAATAATAAAACAATTTTTTATAATTGCATTGCTTTGAATTGAAAAATATTAATTTTTTTAATTATTGTATAATTTTTTTGTAATGAATTATTTTTATATTATTAAAAGTTTATTAAATATTTAAACACTTTTGATAATATTTTTAAAAATTTACATTTGTTAAAATAATATTTTCATAACAGATTATTTAAATATATTTTATAAGTAAATTATCTCCTTTAAATATATAATTATAATTATGTTATAATTTAATTTTTAAATATAATTTTTTTAAATTTATATATATATATATTAATTTTTATTTTATAATAGTATTAATTAGATTTAACAATGAAATACTTAAAGCAAAAATGAATTCTTTCATATAAATAAAGAAATGGAATGATGAAATATAAAATTATAAAATTAAAGTATAAAAATTATTCTAAATATCATAAGTCAAAATCTCTTTAACAGTAAAAAAATTATTTTCGAAGTTTTTATTTAAACAAACTATAAATAGTTAAAAAAATACATGAGCAAATGGAAAAGGATATTTAAAAATAAATAACTCAATATTTAAACCTAATTAAAATTAAAAGGCAATATATTAATGCTTGTATGTAGAACTGAGACAGCAATGACATTAAAATAAGCTTTTTTGAGATGGAAAGTAAGATCGAATACAAATATTATGAAACAAGTTATAAAAAAATTTGCCTTATACGCAAGAATAACGCCTGAAATAGTAAAAAAATTATTTATTAAAAACTTTATTTTTAATTTAAGGCATATTGGAGATTAAAATGCTATACAGATTAATAAAAATAATTACCAAATTTTGCAAATGATGTAATAAGATCCTTAATTAATAAAGTGCATAGTAAATTAATCAGTGCTTAAGAAAATAAAGCCCTAAAGCTTTTTTATATGTGGAAATGTTTACCTGATTAACACAAAATAAAAAATAAACTTAAATCCTGTACTTTCTAACATAAAATAAATTGCCTTTAATAAAAAAAATTAAGAAAATTAAATGATTATTTAATGGAAATACATTTATAGGCCAAAGAAAAAAAAGTTTATTTGATATATATTTAACCTATTTATATTTATTTATATTTTTTTAAAAAAGAAACAAGCTTTAATAAAGTTGATAAATTTTTAAAAATCTTAATAATAATAAGCTATTTAAAAGTGGTATAATATTGTTTACAGATAAAATTAAATTAATAAATACAAATTAACAACTGATTTTTTTGCAAAACTAAATTATATTTTAGCTTATAAATAGTTAAGTTCTATTTTTTAAAATGATAAATAATTATAGTTAAAAAAAGAGAAACTAAACATAATTTTAAATAGAACTAGAACTAATATTTAATAATGTTTTAGACTATGGGTTTTTAACGCTGAAAAAATGCATATAGCAAACAAAATGAATAATTAAAATTTATCTTAAACATAAAAAATTCTTATTTAATAATTGATTAAGATTTAAGGAAATAATCAAAATAATCTTTTAATTAAAGTACTATCTAAGTTTTATTAAAATAAAAGAATTTTAAAAGCTCAAAATAAATTTTACTAATGTTTACTCAAAATTAATTTTACTAATAATTATAACTTTTTTAAAAAGGTAAAAAATATTTATTAAATTTTATATTAATTCCAAATAATAATAATATAGTGGTAATATATTCCAAATATGTAGAATGTATAAAAAGCAAAAGCAATCCGATTTTCGAATAAAATAAATAAATTATTTAATAATAGAGTTAGAAATATATTTGAATAATTGAGACAATAACACATGAACGTGGAACTAAAAAAATTAAAAGTCCTTTAGACCATATTTAGAATTAAATAATAAGATGTATTTAAGGCCTTTTCTAATTGGAATAAATTTATTTAAAATACTAAATATTTATAAATGTAATTATTATTTATATTAAAGTAATAATTTTATAAAAAACATTATTTAAAGATGCAAACTTACAATTAATATTTTTGATAATCTAGATATGAAGTTATAATAGAATTTAATTTTTATTTTTTAAATTGACTAATAATAAAAAAATAAATAGAAAAATATTTTATAAAAAATAATAAATTTTTAATAGAATAAACTAAATTTAATATTTTAAAAGTTTAAACATTATATATAATTAAAAACTTTGTAAGAATAGTTAAATTAGGAAAGCAAAAGATATTTACTTTAGGCATTTAATTAATTAATAGATAATAAATTATATTAAAGATAAAGACTTTTATTATACTGTTTTTATAAAAATGCGGAGAGAGAAAAAATATTAATAAATTTTTTCTAAAAACTAATAAAAATAAATAGTCAATAATAAATGAATGTAATATAAAAAATAATTATATTTTAAATAATTTAATTAATAAAAAGTTACTTTAACTAATTAAATCATTACCAGATTTACAATAAATTAATATTTGCAGAGAAAAAACAAACTAATTTGAATAGAAATTGATTTTATTAACTATGAAGAAAAAATAAAATACTATGAATAATTTTAAAAAATACTTTTTTTAAGGAAAAAATATAAAATAAATGTCAATTAAACATTTGGTATATATATAATTAAAAGATATAAAAAAAATATTTGATAAATGGCGTTTGCATTAATAAAAATGTAGATAATTTTAAGCTTTTAGTAAATTATTAATGGTTTTTGATAATATTAATAAAACATTAAATAATAACTTTTAAAGTATATATTAAAAAAATGATGATATTTAAATTAAAAAAAAAATGATTATGAAATTAGTAAAA